AGCAAAATATAATAAAATGTGTTAAAAAATTCATTTTAAGCCTCAATCGCACTGGATTTATTTCAGTAAAAGTAACCGTCTTGTCGGTAAGTTTGACCGAAAAAATCCAGTACGGATAGTCCCGCTCGGTTACCTTGACTGTCGCCGCCGTCCCAAAATTTAATCCAGCGCGACTGAGGCTTTAGTTTCTGTAAAGTGCTGTCCCAAACTTAGGAGGGATTAATACTCTATTCATATACTTGCCACCACCATGAACATTTGGTTCCTTATTTTCTTAGTAACCGAAACAGTATATTACTTGAGTTATATTGGGAGTCATATTTACCTGAAGTTGTCCAAGAAGAAACACAAGAGAAAACGTTGCATCTAAACTTTGACAATCGGCTGTAGTCACTACACGAATTAGGTTTTTTGGTAAACTCTGAAAAATTTAAGTGAAACAAAGTTTCAATGGTTGTACTGTACATCTATATACTTATAGGTTACCATCCTACGTTCATGGATACTATGTACTCTTTCTTCATGCCAAAGTGCTCAAGGTGGACTATCTTGCACAGTAACTTGCTTCTCCCCTAAGGGTCTCTTCGTGCCTGAGCTACTGTACCTGGTAAACTGGTACCAGTTACTCTCGTTGGTCCACGCTGGGGGCTGTATGTGCCCGTACGCCAGCGCTAACCCCCTATTCTTTAAAGGCAGCAGCACATCCTGTGGATGACAGTGGTTTATTCCACTGTTGCTGCTTCCAGGCATTGCTCTTCATTTTGAAGCTATTTCTTTTGTATATTTTATTTTTTTTTACCAAAATTAATAAAATTAAATAAAATTAGAATTTAAATATTTCTACCTATGTTGCTTAAGTAAAATTTAGCATATACAGTATTACAGATTATTATCAAATTGCTCTTAGTTTGCTAGATTATTTTTAATTGAATTAATTTAATTCAAGCCGATTAAAATGAATTCTCAGCCTAACAATCAACATTGTTGAAAGGTGTCTACATTAATTATTTTTTTTTGTATTCAACAACAAATACACAGACTGCATATGATAGATGATTTGTTGTAAAATGTAAAAACGCTGCAGATCTATGAAAGATGGTTGATCCAGTGGCATACCTAAGGGAGGGCATGGTAGATGGGGCATTCCTCCTGAAAAAAGCCTGTGCCAAACTAACTGCAAATTTGCTTGTTGGGATAAAAAAAGTTATGCTCAAGTTGTTAAAAATCAACGTATTTTGCATTTCAGTGTTCCCCCTCACTATAATCATCAAGCCTTTGCACTTAATCTAGATATGCCACTAAAGCTTTGTTCACACTCAAATTTTATGTGACAAATAAGTGTAATATGACATCATGATGCCCATATATGGTCACATCACACACATCTGTCATATAAAATTTGAGTGCGGACAGAGCTTATTTGATTAAACTGTATTCAGCTTACGCACCAATAATTTCGTCATAATTTGTTCCTTCCCTTTAAATATTTGACCTTCGAATGTCATAGTTGATGTTTCAGTCTGAAAAAAAAAGAAAAGTTAATGAGTGAGTGCATGAGGTAAAATGTAATTGAGGGTGCCCTCTGACCCTCACTCAAGGTCAACTCCTGATGTTGCAAAAAATAAAGCAATGTGGACTGACACATTGTATGCCTTATGGGGTTCCAATGTGAATTAATGTTAAATTACATAATATTTATTGATTTTTAAACTGTCTTGAAAGTCAGTACAAATGCCATTTTTCATTAAATTTTTTATCTCATCAAAAATCAAATTATATACTAACTCACAAAGTTTAGATTTATTTTAATTATTCAGTATACACAGATTTCTTATTCACAAATTCATAATACAGTATACAAATGGCAGTTTTACAACTGAAATCAAATTGTACCATAAAATTGATTTTAATTATTTATTGTTATAACATTTTTTGTGATAATTGCAACATTTATTTTTACTATTATTTAAAAAAGAAAATCTATACTAGACCTACAAAATACCAGCCTAGTAAGGATTGTGGATTTTATATCTTTCATTTCTTCCCAAAAAAGAAATTTGTAACCCAGATCCAGTGTTTATATTCCTGTAATTGCTCTTACTAGGAATAAACTGTAAGTGGGAAACTCAAAAGTTTCTTGCTAAAACTAGATGTTAGTGAGGCCTCCAATCATTTGTTTTTATTTTTCCTTTTTGCGCCGACTGTATCAACAATATGGGCGTACAAAGACTTTCCGAGTGTGCCTGACACCTCCAAGGATCAGAATACATGTATTATATGGAAAAAAAACTTTTTAACATTTCTGCGGTGCCATACTGTCAAGTATGTTTAATTGCGCAGATGACACTTCATAAACCAGCTCAAATTTGTGCGGATAATCGTTGACGTTAAGAAACTGTGTGCGCAAAATCGTACCTACTGCATATATATTAAGATTAGGTCAACGCCTAATTTTCTGCAAAATCTGAGCTGAAATCGGCCTTTATTTTCCAAAATGCGCATACAAATTTCCAGGCCTAATTTTTTGGTCGAATTTGCCAAGACTACTTCAAACGGGAACCAGTCAATTCGAGCAGATGCTACTTCGAGCGAAGGCCAATTCGAGTGGATGCTAGTTTGAGCGGAAGAAGATCCACTTGTGCGAACAACAACCTGTGTGAGTTATATACGAATTACTTCAAAATTTCCTATTTTTGAGCTAAAAATTTGACATTTTCAAATGGGAAGGGGGCACACAACAGTTCCAAAATAGATAAATGAGTAACATAACTCAATTACAAATATAAGTAATCAGAGCATTTTTTTGCATTTAAACAAACAAACACAAGAATACGGCGACGATAAATTCGCCCTTGTTCTAGTTCGCACTAAATGCATCCGCTCGAACTGGCATCCGCTCAAACTGACATCCGCTTGAATTAATAATAATAATAGTTGGACATGTAGAGCGCATCATGCGAAAAAGCCTCTATGCGCTAGGTGATTGAGCTCTTTGATTTGGACTTTTGAGAAAAAAGATAGTTGAAGTTATTTTATGAAACTAAAAAACCTACTCCTTAAACTAAGGCATGGTTGGCCGTTGGCTCCGAGGAGTTCATCCGCCCTTTGTTCAGCTGTTTTTTTTCGTGCTGCTGGGTGTCCATCCACCCTCCCATTTGGCGGCCGCTAAAGACCACCAGATGGGGTTGTCGGAATTAGTCGCCGACAACTCGACCGGATGCAGTTTATAACGTCGTGCCCAGGACACTGGCACGACGTTATTTTGACTGGCATCCGTTCAAACATTGAATAATTATTAAAAGTACTAGCTCAAAATGGAGCAGATCACCAATAAGTTGGTAACCGTTTTCAGGACCAAATGCGAAACCGTATTATTAGCGCCACTAGGCCTAGAATTTTTAGGCCCTAGGCCTAGCCTAAATACAATAGTTAGGCCTAGGCCTAGGCTAATAATTGTAATTGTCTTTTTCACGAATCGGTAGACATCTTGAAGTGATGACAAACATTGCGAATCAGCGGTGCGTAACCAACAGAAATAAGATATGCTTTTGGGCTGATTTTCTGACATCATGTTGTTTAAAAAATCATAACTCCATAACGGGGCATCGTATCCAAAAAATGTTTCCAGGAAAATGTTCTTAAAAGACCAGTCTACACCACACACTGGGCATTCAGACTGTGTTCTCGGCGCATGTTCTCGGCACATAATGTTCTCGGCACACGTCATTATTTGAATTTATGTCGAGCACAGAATGTTCTAGCTAGAACCCAGTTGAACCACGTTCTCGGAACAAATGTTTTCGAACTACGACTCTGGAATGAAGTCTGAACGTGTGCCGAGCATAAAATGTTATAACTGGGCGGGCTTCAATGACGTGACCTGACCTGCTTTGACATTCTTCCGAGGCGCAATGTACACATATTAGGGCAAATATAAAAATTTATTAGATTATTACTTCCGCAAGCGTAAAAAATTCGGGAAATATTGATGCGGGAATAATTTTTTTTTCCGCATCAATTATTTCAACAGCATAAAAATAACAATGCAATTTTGTTACTTTAAATACATTTTCTTTAAAAAACTATAAAATTATACCTGTTTTTATACAATATTTACTATTACAGACCAATATAAACAGTCCCCTCCCTCATCGATAAAAACAAAGGCGAAATAGGCCTAATCTATTGTTCCAATTAAAAAAAACCGCCCTTCATCATTTTTTTTAGATCATAAGAGTGATAATCTAATAATATTTTCTATGTGCTTTTATAATACAGCAGTACTACTGTTCTCTTGATTAATTTATGCTGTAGGCCTAAATGTTTTGGAACAAAACAAAATGCTGAAAACATGTTCTGACAGAGGAAGCACATGGAGTGCAGTCATCGAAATGAATTGCGTAGTTGAAGTTTGGGAAGGGAGAGAGATAGAAGCACAAAATACCAAAGGATCTGGGAATAAGCAACTTTTCCAAAAGGTATCCGACAATCTTGGATTTCCACGAAGACCCTGGGATCGTATAAGAGACAAATTTAATAAAATGGAAATAAAGTTAGGCCTACAGTGACTCTGAGCTCCTCTCAAAATGTTACACATGCATAAATGCCAAGAACATGGTTTTATAATCTGAATGATCGTATTTCAAGAACTTTTTCGTTCGGTCTGGTATGTGAACATGTGCCGAGAACATAATGTTACGAAAACATTTTATGCCGAGTACATAATCTGAATGCTCCCTATATGATTGAAAAAAAATTGAAAAATTGTTTTGACCTCTGAAATCAAGATTGAAAAAGAAAAGCCTATCTTAGAGTGTATTAAAATAGGCCAATGCATTACAGTGCAGTAGCATAGGACTTTCGTGTTGTTACTGATCCAAGTAGCAATAATATACATATTTCTCTTATTACAAAGTAAATGTTATGTTTTATAAAGAGGTATAGTGTAGTAAATCATGTTTTTAACACAGGAAACTCTCATATGGTAACTGAAACAATGCTAGTTCAGAGTATTACTAGTACTACAGCACTGTAATGCATATACCTATTTTAATACACTACTGAGATAGGCTTTTATTTTTCAATCTTGATTTCAGAGGTCAAAAAAATGTTTCAATTTTTTTTCAATCATATAGTGGTATAGACTAGTCTTTTAAGAACATTTTGCTGGAAAATGTTTTTGGATACGACCATCCGTTATAGAGTTATGATTTTTTAAATAACATGATGTCAAAAAATCCGCCCAAATGCTTATCTTATTTCTGTTGGTTACGCACCGCTGATTCGCAATGTTTGTCATCACTTCAAGATGTCTACCGATTCGTGAAAAAGGCCTATTCAAATAGTATTGGCGAATATGGCAAATACATTTTTAGTCTTAGGGAAAAAAGGGTGCCGAACGTAGGCCTAGACCAATAGATTCATAAGAACACTCTAGGCTAGGCCTACACTGAATTGCGAATACTAGGCCTACAGTAGCCTAGGCTAGGCCTAGGGCCTGAACTCTCCCTGACCAGGCCAGGGGGCCAGGTCCAGCCAGCCAGCAGTAGGGTATGGATGGGCTTCCATTTTTGTAGTACCGAGCCCGTCACTATACTCACAAATACATTAGCCAGTTGTTGACGATCATGCTGAAAAAGGTTGTAGAAATACCCCGCGAACGCTTGAGCTAAGTCTCCTTCCGCCATTATTAATTAAAAATTCAGATTTCTAGAATAACCCACCACCGTCAGAAAACCAACAATGTAAACTTTATTCCCGCCGCCGCGACGTGGGAAATGAATATATGATAATTGATGTTGCGAAACCATAATATACGGAACGAAGTTTGTTAACAATTTTACAGCATTATTATAGTCGTGCAGAACCGCTTACTAATCCATTGCTTATTTTTGGCGGTTTTTTTTCAATCTTACGCGCGCACAACAAAATTAAAAATTACTTCAATAAAAAAAATACAGTGTCATTCAATACAATTGGTACATATGATACACTAAAATAAAATAGAAAATAACCAAAACTGTCACTAAAGAATTTACAGAACAACTGTAAATCTAAGGAGGCAAGGAGGCCTAAAATCAACTAAAATCGTTTAGCTCAGAAGAATTGTTAATCCATCCCTATGGAATATAAATCTCAGAATTTGCCAATAATTTGGGAAGAAAAACAAAAGAAATAAAAAATGCGACTTCATGTTAATTGCATAGCAAATAAATTAAATTTAAAAACAATATTTAGAGTGCATGACATCTGTTCTTCTTCACCCCCTCTAGGGTGGAGCATGACAGAAAGCACAATTTTTTCCCTTGGTTGGTATTGAATGGGGTCACAGGTGGACCGATGCCAAAGATGGGGAACCTTGGTGATTATGTGGAGGGAAACTTACAAAATAAGTTGATATAAAGTCATTTTTAACTGAATTTGCAATTTGTCTAATTATGAAATTTATATCACCATAAGCTATAAAAATGTGTAAAATATAAGCATGAACCTGTACTTACATCAGTAGCGTATATATCCCCCCCTGTCTCTTATACACATCTAGATGTGTATAAGAGACAGGTACATAAACTCAATCGATGTGCCACCAAATCGTAACCAGCCTTCACCATGCCCTCACCATGTCACCGGGGATGCAACTGCCAAAAAACCCTATTTTTGGCAGCGAAGGGACGCTACCAATAAACAATCAACAAACTACCGGGTTTCTGGGTTGATTTGCAAGGTACTGCATGGCTCAACTGTTTTTTACTTTGGGGTAATTGGTAAAAATCGCACACAAATCATACGACGTCACTGACAACGCCGGGGACGGCAACTAGATTTCGAGATTAATTTTCCGAATAAAGTTATACTAAATAACTTCTAATGACGAACTATTGTCCTCAGTTGTCTTTGTTGGTCATTCAACTGTCATTTTATCTATTTTTTCGGTGATATTACCATTCTCAATAATCTATAAAACACCCACATAACAACGTCACGTTAGATCGGTCGGTGGGGACTCCGTGGTGACGCTGGTAGGGTCAATTTTTGCTTATGTTAATCACATGCTTACCTAAGACTATACTGTCACTGGTTTCAAATCACTGTCAAGTAGTTAAAAATCACCTAAAATCACCTTATTTTGCGAATTAGCGCCCCTCAACTGATCATCGAGCACCCCCCCCCCCCCCCCCCCCCTTCTCCCCCTAATCAGCCCCCATTTCAAGACATCTAGATACACCCCTGACTTACATGGCCAGATGAATGAAAATACTCAATTGATGTGCCACCAAATCGTAACCAGCATTCACCATGCCCTCACCATGTCACTGGGGACGCAAACTGCCAAAAAAACTATTTTTGGCAGTGAAGGGACGCTACCAATAAATAATCAACACACTACTGGGTTTCTGGGTTGATTTGCAAGGTACTGCATGGCTCAACTATTTTTTACTAAGTGGTTAATTGGTAAAAATCGCACACAAATCATACGACGTCACTGACAACGCCGGGGACGGCAACTCGATATTGAGATTTATTTTCCTAATAAAGTTTTACTAAATAACTTCTAATGACGAATTATTGTCTTCCGTTGTCTTTGTTGGTCATTCAACTGTCATTTACCTACTTTTTCGGAGATATTACCATTCTCAATAATCTATAAAACACCCACATAACAACGTCACGTTAGATCGATCGGTGGGGACGCCGTGTTGACGCTGATAGGGTCAATTTTCGTCGGAAGGTATCAAGATAATAAACAGTTTCATTAGACTAAATTCTTGCTTATGTTAACCACATGCTTATGGCCCAACGTATCAAAATTTCTCTAAAACGCTGGTATACGCTGAATTATCGATGCTTTTTTTTTCAACTTTGGGCGCATTCATAGCGTATTCATAACGTATTGGACGTATAAATAACGTATTAGTAAATTATGTAGAACGATTTGATTACTTATAGAAAACTTACACAA